CTCAGAAGCCACGGAGGGCTCCACATTGTCAGCCATTTTCTAGATTAAAGATATTAAGTGTCGTAATCCAGGAAAATCGCAAAAGAAACACTGGTGCCGCGGGTGTTCACCACATTGCCATCTACGTCGGTGAGCTTAAAGCGCAGGGTGCGCAGTGTAATAGGCCCGTGCAATTTGACGAAATGACCTTCGTCCGTTCTAGTCTGCATAATGTTGCCGATGCCTTTGTCGATAATCATTTTGCAGATGATATCGTTACCCAAGGGCCCCTTGATGTCGGCGCCAGTGGCCAGGGTGCTGCATCTGAGGAGCAACTCTGAGTATGGGTTCATGACGACGAAGCGGAATATCTGCAGCGCTCCGTCGATGTAGCTAGGGCCTAACAAGTGGTTAATCGAGAGCGGCCGGCTGGGCGTGGCGCCGGCGGGGTAGCTCCCGGTGCCCGGGAAGAGGCTCCGGATCTCAGGCGACTTCCCGTGTAGGCCCCGACGGGGAGCACTGCCCAGTTGAGGGTCTGCAGCGCTTCATCGATCCAAAAAAGGTACTGGCCCCTGTCCGTGCTCAGAAAAGCATCGGCCACCCTGAACTTGAAGACGCTGAGGCCCCGCTTTGCAAGTGGTGGGTCTCGCCAATGTCAAATTCAAAGCTGGAGTCGTCCCCGGCGGTTCTCTTGCGACATCCTTTTCTTACGTCCCCAGAAGCTCCGCGCCGTCGAGGCGTCGGACTCGTTGCTGATTTGCCTTGCCCGCTCCGGGTAGGGCAGCCGCCGCGGGTCATACACGCCGCTGCTGCTGCAGCATCTGATGTTGTGGCACTCGCTCTCGCAGATCGGCCCGCTCCCCAGCAGCTTGGCCACCACTTGGCTGAGGATCATCCCCATGCTCGTTTACGAGGAATTTGTGGTCGAATCGCACAAAGAACATGTCCTCTTTGGGGGCTCGCATGTTGACGTACCAGAAGCTGTATTTCTCCCTGGTGGCTTCCTGATACATCCCATACAAAACGTCCTTTGCGAGCATGGCGCTCAGTTCCTCCACCACAGGGCGTCCAATTCTAACTGGTTGCGCAGCCGGAAGACGCAATAGAACATGGTATTCACCCGCACGGCGCTGCTCATGAGCCGCAGCTTTTGCGTCGACACCCAGGTGCTGATGCAGTAGTGCCGGCCTCTAATGAACAGAGTGTCCAGGATGCCATCGCCCGTTTTGCGGTGCACGGCCGGGTTATCCGCATGGTCGTCGATCACGATCAGGACCTGGTAGAGCTTCTTCATGCCCAGCTGCTTCGACTGCTGGGTGATCTTCTTCTGCTGGGCCAGAATCTGCCGCAGCGCCCCCTCGTCCCAGTCGTCACCAAGCTTGCTCGCGGTCCGTGTTGACCTCCAGGTCCTTCCGAATGTACTCCTTCACAGGCTCCCACTGGGGGTCCATGTCAATGCTCGGGCTCAGGATGTACACGCGCTCGAAGCAGCCCCGATATTGCTCCAAGATCATCGAAACGAGGAGAACGGTCTTCCCGGACGCGGACGGCGCGCAGAGGATGCCGTTCGAGGGCGTCCTGCAGACCACCTGGTCTCGCGGCTGCTTGACGTCGTAGCTCGCGCTCGGGAAGAGCTTCACCTTTCCCATTTAACCAAAGCGCCCTGTAGCACTCGCAGAGGCAGCCGCACATTTATGTGATGTTCCCCTCGTGCCACGGGCCCCGCAGCCGCATGGGATGGTGGCCAGGCGGCGGTGCGCCAGGGGCGGACAGGAGCCACAGGGCCACGAAGACGCCGGCCAGGGCCACAGTTGCGCAGAGGCACTCTCCCGGCAGCATCGGTGTTCGTTTGTAACCTAGTGCACGTAGTCCCAAGTAGAGTGTGTAGAGTAATCACAAGAACACATGAAACATGTGTGTGAACCGCGACACGAAGGCTTAAGCAAGTCAGCCCGCGAAGTGAGAAAAGTGTGTTTGTGAGTAGAGTGGGAAGGAAGGCTTGAGAAGCCTTTAGTTTCAACATGGTAGCGGAGCTCCCTGATTCAGACCTCTTGGGAGCGATGAAGCTATCACAGGAACAACAGGTAGCTGTCGCCATGGTTTCCTTGGCTTTGGCTTTTTCGCTGATGTGTCTGGCGAGAAGCTTTGTGAAAGAACTTGTGAGAAAGGAGACAGTGGAGCGCGTTGCTCCGGCTGAGGAAGAGCTACCAGAACTCTGGTACTCGCCTTACGGAGAGAGGACCCGCACTTCAGGAAGATGTCATGGCCTCAGGAACGCAACCAGTGTACACCGAGTATTACCATGCAAGTACTGTTGCCCCGGTGGACTTCGATCCCGGGAACAACGCACCTTCGAGTACAAGAGAACCTTTTTGGAAGCAGCAGGAAAGTACCTCTGGCTGAAAGTCTTCATGGTTGTGGTTCTTATGGGCATGTCATGGTTCATGGTGTTTGAAGTGAACGAGACCTACGGCTACCCGTTGGCCACGAACCGCATGCTGAACTACAGGAACAAGGTCCTCAGCCTCGACAACAAGAACCCCAAGAAGAAGCATGTGATAAAGGAGATTACCCCAGCGGATGTTGTACCTGCCGGGAAGAGCCAAGAAGGTGATCACACAGAACTTTTCACGTTGTGGTCGCATTTACATGAGCCCAATACCGAACCGAGAACGAGAGCGAGATCAACGTCACGAGCTACCTCAAGAAGAGGAACGTGTACTCCGAGTTCTACAAGAACAAAAGAAGAGGAACAAAGTTGCAACTACAGTTTTCATGAAGGTGATGTCGCGGAGTATAACGAGAACCTAAAGAACGAAGAAGTGCCCCACGTGAACTACTACAAGAACCTTGTGTTTGAGTTGGTTTTGGAGTTTCAAGAGTACCTTGCGAAAGCAGGAAGAAGCCTTGAGCCCGTCGTGAGCTACGTCGTGCGCACGTGTCACCCAGTACTACTTCTACTTGGGACCCCGCTTGGTATGGTCACTTGGATCTACCTCTATTTTTGGGTCAGAGTTAAGCAAACAAAAAGAGAACAGTTGAAGAAGAAAGTTTCGAGAAGGAAGTTGCACAGGTCAGTTTGCAGCGTTCTTTTCAAGAAGCGAGTCTGGTTGCATGCTGTGTTGCTTTACAGTCACATGCAGAGTGCAGTTGCAATGGAGGAAGCCTTGCAAAGGCTTACGGACCTTACTGCCCAAAACACACAGCAGATACAAGCACTTGCCCAAGCAATGAACAGTCAGCAAGCACAGGCAGGTACCGCTTCACAACAACTACAGGAACTCGCGCAGTCAGTTTCACAACAGCAAAGAGCAATTACAGAAGCAACCCAAGCAACCAACACAGCATTGTCACAACAAGCAGAGCTTACTGCAAACGCAGTTGCAGCAACAGGAAAGCTTACAGCAGACGCAGTTACAGCACTGTCGCAGCACGCAGAGTCAAGAAGGCCAGGAGAGATCGACCTCCACAAGATGATCAAATCTCCAGAAGTCTTTGGTCCTACTACATACAAGGAAGAGCGTGATGGTTTTCTAGAGTTTCGGTTGAAGCTGAGAAGTTGGATAGGTGCTCTCAACAACGACATCCTTGAGAAGATCAACGCAGTCGAGATGGATAGAAGAGAAGCATCATGGGAATGGAGCAAACTTAACCCAGGTGAACAAGCGCTCTCAAGAAAGCTACATTCCATTCTCACCAGCTATACACGTGGCCGTCCTCTACGAACTCTAAAACAAGTGCCCAACGAGAACGGTTTCGAAGCATGGAGGTTGTTGGTGGAGGAACATCAACCTCACAACCGTGCACGTTCTCTACAACTACTTAACGGAGTTCTTCACTACAGGTTCGACAAGCAAAGGTCAACACAAGAAAATATTCTAAAGTTCGAAGAGTTGATCGAGGAGTACGAGAGAGCGAGTGGAGACGTTGTTGCGGACGACATGAAGATTTCCATCATACTTGGAGGAACCGAAGGGAACATGAGACAACATCTTCTACTCAACCAGAAAGAGACCACAAAGTACGGTACACTACGACAGTACCTCCTCTCCTACGAGCAAGCAGCAAGGTGGACTACCACAGACCTTATCAACTCGGGAAAGGACCACCAAGGACAAGCAGACATGGATGTTTCACGAGTGGAATGGTGGAATAAAGGCAAAGGAAAAGACAAAGGTAAAGGAAAGAAAGGAAAAGGATTTGGCAAGTACAACAAAGGCAAAGGCTTCGGCAAAGGAAAAGGAAAAGGAGAAAGCCAGTACTACTACAAAGGCCGAGGAAAAGGAAAAGGACGAGGAAAAGGAAAAGGCAGAGGCCGAGGATATGGCAAAGGCGGGGGAAAAGGCTACAGCAGCAAAGGAAAAGGTAAGGGCTACAACAACCCAGGAATTGGTGTTTATCATTACTGCCAAAAGCCTGGACACTACGAAGCCAATTGCAGACTCAAGCAGAGAGACATGCAGCAGAACGTCAGGAACGCACAGGAGGAAGACGAGCAAAGCGTCAGGACACAGCCTACCACAGTTCCAAGCAGTAGCGCTTCGGCAGCCACAACAACAAGAACTACAAGCGCGAAGTCTACAGCTAAGCCAACAGTTCGGCAGATCGCGATGTACCACATGGACGACGATCCCGTCACGTACCCTGAAGTTTTTGAACTTGATGAAGACGAAGAAGAGCTCGAGATTGAGTACTTTGGAAGAGTTTTGAGAGTGACGGAAGCTGAAGAGTTTGTTTTGTCAGAAGGAGAAGAGAGCGAAGAAGAACAAGAAGATCCTCTACTAAACTGGTACCTTGGACGTGAAGCAATACCACCACAAGAAGTTCTCTCAGTACGCGTTGTAGAGGAAGAGTTTTTCCAGGAAAGTGATCTTCACCAAAGAATCGAAGTTATCCTGGATTCTGGCGCAGACGTTTCTCTTGTGCCCTCTTGGCTAGGAAAAGAAGGAACCCCTTTGAAGGTTCGCCCTTCGTCCATTCAGGACGCACAAGGAAAGGCAATAAAGACGGAAGGCAGAAGGATGCTGAACTTAACGTTCTTTGATGACGACGGAAGCTTTTGTCGCATCCAGGAAGCCTTCACCGTTGCCTCGGTGATCAACCCGCTGATGGCCATAGGCAAGCTGTTTCGAGAAGGTTGGGAGTTGCGAGTGAACGAAGAAGAAGGTATGTGCCTTACAGATGGAAGCTCAAGAATACCAGTGCATCTCCACAAGAACAGCTTGGCAGCCTACGCCTACGTACAAACTCCTTCAAGAAGCAGAAGTTACAGCAGCAACAACTACAAGATGGTTCGGACAGTTGTTCAGCTCAACAAGCACGTTCAAGAAGCAGTGAACAGAGAAGAACCTGGTTGGCACAACACAGACAGCATGGTGATCGTGAAGTACGCCACTCAAAGCAGCTATGAGAACCCATCTCTCATGTACAGCCCTACGCACTTTCCGTACAGAAGCACTTTGGTGAAAGAAGAGAGAGGATGGAGAGCAGTTGAAGTTTCAAGAAAGTACTCCGAGAAGGCAGACCCTTTTGAAGAGTTTGCAGAAGGAGAAAAGGAAGTGGTTACAGCCATTTCAGCAAAGCCAATTCCACTTTGGATCCTTGGCACTCCTTACGCTGCCGGAGACCGAGCAGACCAAGAAAGTCATGGTCGTGACTACTGGAGAATGGACCTCGAGAAAGGAGAAGTTGTTCGTCACCACGTAGTACCAAGAACTGTACTGTTTGACCCAACAGGTGTTGCCAACTGTCCTGTCCTCCTTGGAGATCTCGAGAACAGCAGGTATACCCAAGGAGACTGCATCTACAGTACAGAGATCTACGAACACAGCGACGACTGGAGAGCAGACCGTCTACCTCTACGTGAACACTTCCGTTTACCGTGGTTTGGTCAAACAAGGTTTCGTGTGAAGCCAGGAGTTGTTGAAGACCTAAAAGCAGAAGCTGCAGCAGAGGAGCTAAAGAAGAAGAAGGAAGAGCACTACAAAGAGAAGGAAGATTCAGCAGCACCACCAGAAGCAGAGGAAAGTAAAGACGAAGAGATGAGAGAAGCACCAGCAGACCAAGAAGCACCACAAGAAGTTGTTGAAGTTTTGGAGGAAAGCTTCTACCACGAAGGCGTCGAGTACACAGCGCAGAAAAGCAGTCTTAAGGAACTACAAGCACTTTGCAGAGAGTACAGAGTGAAAACAACAGGAAGCAAGAAGCAGCTCTTGAAGAGACTCGCCACAGCAGTCAGAGAAGAAAGGCTCAGCACGCAACACAAGGAACAACGGGAGCACCACCAAGCATACCACCTAGCACCACCACAGGAACCAACGGAAGAGGAGAGAGCGTACCACAACTTGACGCACCTTCCGTATCAGCCTTGGTGTCCCCATTGCATTGCTATGAAAGCACGAGAAGACAACCACAAGAAAGGATTGAGCAAGCCAAGCAGCTCTACGGATTCCGCGAAGCCCGTCATCAGTTTTGACTTTTGCTATACAAGCACCACAGGAAGTGAAGAGCCACCATGCAGTGACTCTTGTCGCTGTGGACAGCTGGAGCAAGGCAGTTCTTGCGGTGCCCTGCAAGAGGAAAGGAGGTGCAGGAAGCACGATGCATCTCGCGGAAGCACTCGTGCAGTTCACCACGCAGCTCGGGTACAACACCCTCGTTCTCAAAGCAGACAACGAGAACGCAGCCAAAGCACTCAAGGACAAAGTACAGAAAGTACGCAGCAGCCTTGGACTTTCTACAACACTACAGGAAAGCATTCCTTACGGCCACGAAAGCAATGGAGTCGCAGAAAGACCAATACAAACAGTACGGAGGCAAGCGGACACCATTCTCGATGAACTCAGAGAAAGAACACAGCTGGCAGTACCACACGAGCACGCAGTAGTAAGCTGGGCGTTTAGACACGCCTGCTGGCTACTCAACAGGTTCGCAGTGAGCAGCTCCACAGGAAGAACACCACAGGAAGTTATCCACGGATACCCCTACTCAGGGAAGCTTGTACCCTTTGGTACTGTTGTGATGGCGAAGAGGTTGAAGATTAAAAAGAAAGGTGACAGGATATGGAACGCAGGAATATTTTTAGGCAAGACAGAGCAAGACACATGGATCGTTGCACAGCCTGATGGCATACATATCACACGCAGCGTGAGACCACTACCAGAACAGTACGACTCCAAAAGAACAAGCAGCATAGAGGTCCATACCTGGAACCTCAACACACCGGGTCGCTAGCGGCCTCGTCGTTCTCGAGCTGTTCGCGTTCTTCCTCGGCAACAGGGGGCAGGATGCTTAGCTGTGGTCGTTGTCTTTGCTTCTTCTCTGGAAGTACTCTTGCTCCAAGGAGTCAGCAGCATGAGTGTGACGAGAGATAGAAAGAGAAGAGCTGAAGTTGATGACGACACCCTTTTGGAGGAACTCAGAGCAGTTGAGCCACTTACAGCCTCAGCAGAAGCACTTTCAGCACCAGCTGAACCAAGAGCAGAAGCAAGCAAGCACAGCCTTGAGCCTGAGGAACCAAGCTCACCCAGCAAGCTACGAAAGCAAGTTAACAGAGCAGAGGAAACAGACGGTTACCTCAACATGCCACATGATGATGAAGTCTACGAAGCAGATGATGAGCTTGTGTACGAGTCGGAAGAAGAAGAAGAGGAGGCAGAGAGTGAACCAACGGAAGTTTCTACCAAGGTCCCTGTCGAGTTCTTCGACGAGGAGAAAGGACCACCGAACGTGGATCCGGCTTTTCTTCAGAAGTTGGATGATGAAGCTACAGTCAAGGAAATCAAGAGGTTAACAAAGATGGGAGTTATTTCGTTGGTTTCTACGGACCCTCAGGAAGCAACTGAGAACGTACCTCTGGTAGACTCAGAACAAGAACTTCACAAGTGGTTGACAACAAAGTTGGTGAAAGATTGGAGGTTCAGAGAAGCTACAGGTTTTGAAGCTGAAGAAGCCAAAGAAGGAACAACAAAGCCCAAGCAGATTCAAAGATGCTGGCAACGACGTGCCAGACTAGTAGCCAGAGAATACAAGACAGAAGGAAAAAGGGAAGATATATTTTCTCCTGCGACAAGCCCAGGAATTACAAAACTGGTGCCCATGCTGGCTCTCGCCAACCATTGGGCGATCTACAGTGTCGACGTGAAGGACGCGTTTTTACAAGTCCCTCAAAGAACACCTTGTTTGTGTCGAGTACCTGAAGAAGCAGCTCACGTCGTACAAGCAATGCAGGAACAACAAGAACGCAGCCCTGGAACTTGGTGTTGGAAGTTAGGAAGAGTTTTGCCAGGTCAACGCGACGCATCCAGTCTTTGGTCAGACTTTTGTGATGGACTTTTGGTGGAAGAGAAGTTTGAGCGTTGTACAGCAGTTCCAGCACTTTACCGTCTTCTACGACAAGGAAAAGTGGTTGCAGTTTGCATTGTGCACGTAGATGATTTGCAGTTTGCAGGAAAGAAGGAAGACATCGAACCAATCCTCAAGAACCTCAAGAAGAAAGTGAACTTACAAGTTGAAGGACCTCTTTTGAACGAGGAAGACTACGAGAAAGGATTTTCTGAGGAGACCGTGAAGTTTCTCAAAAGGAAGTACACGTACGAACAACATGAACTACGAGTACATAGCGATAGCAAGTACGTGAAGAAACTCGTGGAGATCCTCAAGCTGGAGAAGAAGAAGGCCAAGAACTCACCTTGCACACCGGCTAGTCAGGAACCTGACGTATCCCAAGAACTGGACGAGGAACACTCGAGAACGTACGGAAGTTGTGTCGGCATTTTGCTGTACGTGGCGCACGACCGTCCGGACATTCAGTTCACAGTACGTAGCCTAAGTACTGCCATGACGAAGCCAACGGAACGCAAAAGAAAGGAGTTGGAGCACTTGGCGCTCTACCTCAAAGGAACGTCAGACTACGCCGTTACGTACCACAGGAACAGCCCAGGAACGTCAGCTCTACGTCACCGCGCCGAAGAACCACAAGAACTACAAGAACCTCGAGAACAACCACGCGAACGTTTGCTCGAAGTTTTCAGCGACTCCGACTGGGCCGGAGACAAGCAGACTAGGAAGTCAGTGAGTTGCGCCATGTTCTACCTGGACGGTGCGTATTTCTACAGCTACAGCAGGACACAGAAGTCAATAGCATTATCTTCAGCAGAAGCAGAATACATGGCACTTACAGGAGCAGCAAGTGAAGGAATAGGTTTACAGGCAGCAGTTCGTTTCCTTACAGGAGAACGAGTACTACTCAAAGCATACACAGACAGTTCCGCATGCCGCGGAATCACAAACCGCCAAGGAACAGGAAGAGTCAAGCATTTGCAGATTCGGTTACTTTGGCTACAAGCAGCAATACGCGAAGGCAAGCTTACTGTGCACGCAGTCGGTACAAAGGAAAACACAGCAGACCTAGGAACAAAGCCTCTCAGCACGAAAAGAGTGAAGTTTCTCCTGAACATGATCGGCATGTGCAACAGCGAAGGAAGAGTTGGAGAGCAAGAGCGAGAGGAAGAAGAAAAGGCACAAGTGGTGAGAAGACTCGAGAAGATCATGAAGAACAAAAGCAGCATGTTGTTTGCACTTTCGAGTTTGTTTGGAAAGACTGAGGCAGCCTACGTACCTTTCGCCGCAGCTCAAGAAGTAGCAAGCCCACAAGAAGTCCCAAGCAGTCCTGGAAGCATGTCGCTTCTGGAAGTCCTGGTGACGCTCGCCATGGTGTGCATGGCGGCATGGTTTGTCGTGAACGAGATGAGAAAGCCGCAGCAGCACAAGAAGCCGAAGAGAGAAGAGATGAGCAGCGGTGAAGAAGAGGAAAGCAGCTCAGGAAGCAGAAGTGGAGAGAAGAAGAAGAAGAACCGAAGGAGGAAGAAAGCAGAGAAAGACGAAGCGAAGACTGAAGCTCCTGCCGCTCAGGTGAACTACGACGTGGACTCCTTCGACGAGGCAAAGAAAGAAGTGACAGAGAGAGCAGAGAAGTTGAAGAAGGTTGAGGAAAGCCTGGAGAAGGAAAAGGAGGAGTTCGGAAACCAAAAGACAGAGTTTGAGGAGACAGTGAAAAGGTTTTTGAAGAAGCAGAAGGAGGTGAAGGAAAAGGAAGACAAAGTTACAGAAAGAGAAGAGAAGTTAGAGAAAGACCAAGAGACCCTCCAAGAGCAAGCCAAGGTCTTAAGCGAGAAGGAGACAGCCCTTGAAGAAGCTGAGGAGAACGTCAAAGCAAAGGAAGCAGAGGTTGAGAAGAAGAAGAAAGAGGCAGAGAAGAGAGAGAGAAAAGCCCAGGAAAGAACCGTCGGGTACGACCAGGAGAGAGAAGAGTACGCCAAGAAGTACGTGGACGACGCAAAGAAGGACTTGGAGAGAGAGCTTAAAGTGCTAAAGCAAGAAGAGAAAGTAAGGAACCAGAAGCTCGACGACCTCCAGTACGACTACAAGAGCCTCAAGGACGACTACCAGTACTTCAAAGGTTACTCACAGGAAGTGGACGCACTTCTACTTGCAGCTAAGGACAAGATCGTGAAGTACAAGAAGAAGGTCAAAAGCCTCAAGGAAACCATAGGTGCAGCCTTGTCTGGAAGCAGGTGAAGAAGAGACAGAAGAAGCGTACAAGACCAAAGCAGAAGAAGAGAAAGAGAGGAAAGAAGCGCAAGCAAAAGAGGAAGAGAAGAAGAAAGGAAAAAGGCCAAAGCAGGTAGAGACAGAAGACCAAGAAGAGAAGCCGTCAAGCAACCAAGGAGACGAAGCTACCGTCGACCCCAACGACATAGCTGAGTTCACGCAGCTTGGCTACGTGTGGGAGTTCAACAAGAAGACGCAAGAGTACCGCGCGAAGTGCGAGGACAAGAAAGGAAGCACGAGAATCAAGAACGCTCCGGTGAAAGGCCGCCTCCTTTGGAACAAGGTGACGGAGTGCTACAGAAGACACAACGTGTGGTTTACAGACGGAAAGGAATTGGATAAATTCCTCGAGACCAAGGAGAACGAGAAGATCGAGGAAGAGGTGCAGCGACGCATCGGCATGAAGGGCAAGAACGACAACACAGGAACCAAGGGAAAAGGCCCTTCCTGGGACGACGGACACAACGACGGTTGGTGGTACAACGACCAGTGGAACAACGAGAACTGGAACACCAACGACGACGGCAGCAACTGGTACGAGAACGCGAACCCGAACAACAAAGGCTACTGGCAGTCGCCAGAAGAGTGGGCACAGCAGAACCAGTGGGACCAGTGGACACCCAAAGGAAAGGGTAAAGGCAAGAAGTCCAAGAACTGGGTGCAGACCCAGTGAAAGAATCCCGAGAAGGGATGATCGAGTAGGTCAAGCAGTGAACGCTTGTACATATGTACATAGCTAAGCAACGTAAGACTTGATGTATACTAGCACAAGAATTCATGTACAAAGTGTGAGCAAATGTATAGACGTAGCAAACTGGGGCAGTAAGCCTAGGTAAGCTACAACCTTCCAAAGTCTCTTGTGAGTTTCACAACAGGCAGGCTAGGAAGGTACAAGGGCCAGAAGAGGCAAGAAGCCGGAGAAGCCAAGAACAAAGAGAAGAAGCCCGAAAGAAGAAAAGCCCGTAGGCTACGTAAGGGCAGAAGGAAACCGGGGTACGGGCCTCCCCGCAAAGAGTCCATAGGCTGGACCTGACTAGAACGTAGCTGTATATACAGAGTAGGTTTTTCAAGAAGGCCAATGTACAGACATAGAAGGCCTAAGTAGCAACAGGGCAGGAGTGCAGCTAGGTCGCTAGGTAAAAGACCAAGAACAACGGAGACGAAAGTCCCTAGCAAAAGCACTGTACAGAAAGCCCTAGCAGTTTCCAAGAACACCCTAGGAACCCGCAAGAACTTTCTGAGGCGGGGTGTTCGTTTGTAACCTAGTGCACGTAGTCCCAAGTAGAGTGTGTAGAGTAATCACAAGAGCACATGAAACATGTGTGTGAACCGCGACACGAAGGCTTAAGCAAGTCAGCCCGCGAAGTGAGAAAAGTGTGTTTGTGAGTAGAGTGGGAAGGAAGGCTTGAGAAGCCTTTAGTTTCAACAATCGGGGAAAAGGTGCGTTCAGCTGGTGGCATTTATTTTATTGAGGGGAGAAAAGGGAGCATGAGCAGCAAGCCAAGCATGGCGATCAAGCTCGGAGACCTGTTGGCGAACCCGAAGCGCGGCAAGTTCTTCCCCGTGTGCGCGGAGGATGGCGGCCCGGCGGTCTGGCAGTGCGATTGGATCAGAATTTTGTGGCACTCCACGGCCTAAACGGCGAGGACGCTAGGAGGCTGCCCCTGTGCCTGGAGCCCAACGAGGCGGCGAAGGAGGAGCTGGCGGGGTTCGAGAAGGCCCTGGTGGCGCAACTGGCCAGCCGCTCCGTGGCGGACCCGAAGCTCTTCGGGCGCACCCTGACCCCTCACAGGACACGGAGAGCCGCTTCGTCTCTTGCCTGAAGACCTCGGCGCGAGGCAACTCCTTCATCAAGCTCAAAGTGTGCCTGGACCAGGTGCGCCTGTGGGATGCCCAGGGGCATGCCTTGCATGAACCCGGGGACCTGACCAACCGGGAGTGCAAGGTGCGCGCCAGGGTTTTGGCAGGTCTGGATGATGAGCGGCCAATGCGGCCTTCTCATTGAGGTGACCGATCTCATGCTCAAGGAGGAAGAGCCCCAGCGATGCCCCTTCTAAAGCTGCCAGGGGTGGAGGCCAGTTTTTTTCTCGGGGGGGCCGGGAAAAGGCTTGTCAGTTTTGTCAGGTTTGTCAGGTCGCTCTTCGGGGTCCTTTTGACGCATATTGTCTACAAAAACGCGTCCAACGTGCGACCTGCTTTCCGGGCCCCGACACGGCAACACGAATTTTCGGGAAGGGGCCTGACAGTGGGGTTGTCAGGTTTGTCAGGTCTGTCAGGTGGGTCAAATCGGGGATTTTGGGCTTCTGTTGCAGCAAAAGCGACCGACCAAGCGACCTGACAAAACTGACAAAACTGACAAGCCTCCGGGCCGGCCCGGCGAGTCCGCGTTCGGCGGGCCAACAGTTTTTTTCTGGGCTCCCAGGAATCATGTCGTGGATGCAACAATGCGAAGCGATACGACGTGCAGCCGACGCTGGGGCCAGACCACGGATCTCAGCGCAAGGCTCG